TTTTTTTTTTCATTGAATATATCCAAGAGAACCCAAGAGTTTTCTTGAAGACATGATGGTATTTTGAAAGACGAAGCTGTAATGGAGGCTTTTTATGTGTGTAGTCAGTTAGAAAGGCTGTATTCACATAGAAATTTTGGTTTCATTCATTTTTATTCTTTTTTACTCTAAACTATTTCAAAACAATAATCATTAACAAGAAGGCTGTTTTCTTTTGGATATTAGTTGACATTTTTAAATGACTCACTCTTATTTTTGGCGTTTTAGCCGATTTGAATTTAATTCAAGGTAGTAGAAGCTAAAAAATGAACTTTCTTTTTTTTGAATTAGTGTTCAAAGGAATTTTTCGAGTAGGTGCTACTTTGGAAGCATTATTTAAAATAATTTTAAGTGCACTTTTATCAAATTATGGTTATATAATTTATTTCAAAGAGTTTCTTAAAACCGTTGTATTTTTGGAGTCAACGGTTTGTGTGACAACAGCTTTTGTTCTGGTACTTTGTAATTTTTTTTAAAAATTACAAATTTTTTGGTCATTTACTCGAAGAGATTTGAATTTATTGAGAGCTTTAAGAGGATGTATAAGTTGTGTAATTCTCAAAATTTAGACTTTGGGGATACCAAGTTCCTTGTGGACCTTTTAGCTGCTGGAGTTAAGGGTTATCCACGTGTGTCGGATAGCATCATTGACAGCTTCATTTTCGCGTCGCTTTCGTACCTTGCTGCGGGAAATGTTGCTTCGAGCTATATTCTTAACATTGTAGCAGATACTATTTTTTCCGACGTAAGTTGGAATTTATTGTGATGAAACATTTTTTACTGTTTAAAAATTTACTTTTGTACAAAGTTTTAATTTCTTTTTCATCCTTGATATGTCGCTAGCTTACTATATAAATCTCTTGAACTTATAATGTTCATAAGAATTGGAGTGTGAACATTTTTACTTGGAATTGCAGTTTGCTTTTTAATACTTCTACTATTTTCAGAATGTATTAGCCGCTCATCGATGCAAATGCGTTGTAGCAGAATTAACATCTGCGTACTGTTCTGCAAGCCTAAAAAATAATAAATCGCTTTTTCGAACCTCTCCTTCTAAGAATGGGTTGGAAACGTCATCAAGTACCAATCATCTTTTTGGTCCTTCGTTAGTCAGTCAGCTGGCTTCGGCATTCACTCACGATGAGCTTGAACAGCATAATTTTAATGCTTGCGAATTTGGTTCTTCTGTTGCAAAGGCTTTTTCTGTTGGTCAGTTCCTTAATCTTTTGAAAGATGTAGATTGTTTCCATAGATGCTGAGTGGTAATACAAAGTCCATAATGATTTAGACATTAGCTGGATTGCAAGGTTGCTTGTGCATCTCATCAAGCGTTTATGTAGCGGACAATATGAAGGGAATCGTTGTATTGCTGGAGCACAAACAGTGCTTTTCTTATTTAGTCATTTCAATGCTAATCAACTGACTGGAGTGGTAGGAATTTTTGTCATTTGTTTGTAATAGTTTCAGTCTGTTTGGTGTTAAAATTTTATAAATTTTGTTCCATAACCTTTCGCAAGACAACATTATTTGTCGTTTTTCAAATATACTTTTTGAAGCGTGACTGATACTTCGTTACAGATGAAATTCATTATTGATCGAATAGATTTTGGAACTGGTGAAAACTTTTTAAGTTCTACAAATCTGGACAGGCAGTTACTCCTGCTTCGTATAGTTTCTGTAGTGCTTGCGCAATGTAATTCTCGTTACCAGCCTGTGTCAAGCCAATCTCAGAGTTCAGTGGCAACCAGTACAGAGAGACCTGAAGAATCGCACGAAGAATCAGTGCTGGAAAAGGTTTGTTCTTTGTAAACTAAATCTTTTTTTAACCTCCATTTTCTTTATGTTCTTGATAAATTGTTTTGAAGTGTTTTTCTACTTCTTCTCTTCCCTAATTCGTCCAGTTTCATACTACTAGTTCAGATGATGACTCTTTTTGTGGTCTATATCGGATGAACCTCGCGTTTTCTTGATTTTAGGAGAATTTATTGATGGAGGACGATTATTGTGGTGATGATGATAACGTCAATTATGAGCTTGATGACTCAACATCAGATGATATTGTTAACGTGCAAGGGACTTCTCAAGATTCACGCGGTCCTGAAATTTCTTCGGAATGTGACGCTCGATCTAAATTAGCTAAATTTATCGCTTCTGAATTGGTGAGACATCTTGATCCTTGTTTTCTTTTTTAAATTAAGTTTCGGCACTAGTCTTTATTTTGCTAGTCTTTTAAAAATTTTATTGGCATTCATAGTTTAACTGTGATTTTATTTCTGGTCAAATGAAGACTGTAGTGATTATTGAAATATTTTCTAAAATAATCATAAGCCAGTTTTGCAGAAAGTATTTTTTATTTAGCATCTATATTATTCTGAATTTTGCTTGCAGTGCTTACTTAATTTTTCTTCAAGCTATATAATATTTTTTATAATTTCAAGGACTTCGTTGATCATATTGGTCTGGATAGTGTGCTTTGTTTCTTGTACTACATTTTGATATTCAGGTCGCTGCTGGTACCTTAGAGTACTGTCATTCTGTCCTCGTAAAATACACGTTGAAAAATGCTTCTGAGACTGGAGGAGAAACACCATTTACCACTGTTTCTCCCGAACTCTTACCTAATCTAGCTCCACTGTTCGACAAACGAGTTGTTAAGTCTGATGTTGATGACATCTTTAAATGGCGATTTGAACTTCTGGCTGAAACAGCTCTTAAACTTCCATACCAAGTAGGTGTCCAATAATAATTTTTTTTGTTAAGAATAATATATTTCTGATTTATTTCAGTTAAAACTGACACTTGAAAACAAGCTGGTTTTGGATAGCGATTGGGAGATTAGCTTATGTCAGCTTATTACTGTGGATAAGAGTGTTATGGGAGATAGAGCCCAATGTAAAAGATTGGCTCGTAAACTCTTGCATCTAATCTGCTCATCCGATCTAGTGAGTTTCTTCGTGAATTAAATTGTTAGGTTGGTTCACGAAAATGTGCCGATTTTGCTTTTCATTTTAACAGATCATAAATTTACTGCAGGTGAAAATTAATTTTGGAAGTAGTACAGTACAAGATTGTCTGAAGGTAGCTTTGATATTTTTTGACTTAAAAACATAGAGATTTAGAGGTTTGGAAATTTAAGGTGATATTTTTTGTATGCCTAGGATCACGCAAGTTTCCTTCTTAGATGATTTACTTAGTATTTCTTTTGAATGGTTTGAACGAGAGGCAGTAAGAGGAAGTCTTGAAGAGTAAGATGGGCACGTCGTACTTCGTGTCTGAACTCCTCAATTTATGCTGTTTGGAATGTGTATCTCGCAGTGTCGAACAGTAATGGCAATTTCTTTTGTTCCAAAGGCATCTGGCACAACTTTTTAAAATTTTAATTATTATACCCTAATTTTGGGCAGTACCTTTGATGCAACAACATTTGACAGTATTCTGAAAGCTCTTGTGATCTGCATAGCAGATGTTTTGTCAGCCCTTAATTATTACGTAACGCTGATCGAGATCTGGCCTTATCATTTAATTAAAAGCCGA